TGGGGAGGCCTCAGGATAAGGGAGGGTGGGTTGGCTTCTCTGGGCACCCCTGGGCAGGGGCTGTGTCACTCAATAAACACCAAACCCCAAAGCCCCGTGACTCAGTGCCAGTTCTGTGGCTGCCTGTGCCAGGGGGAGCCTTTCCCTGAGTGAGCCTCGAGGAACGAGGAGGCTGGGGCAGAGGGAGGGAGGATTTCTTGCATCATTTGCCCCACGGGATAATGAACTCCAGAAGGACAAAAGCCCAGGGCAGGGGGTTGTGTCCCACCCTGGCACTGGGGTGAAGGGGGCAACTCTGGGGTAAAGCTTTGTGGATAAATCAGCTGAAATCTTTCACAGCAGACTCTTGGGCCCAGCTCCTGCTGCAATTTCCCCTTAACCCTGCTGAAATTGTTCAGAGTAAGGAAACACCTGAGAGCAGCTGTGGCCCCTGGTGCTGGGGAGAGGCTGCAGAGTGGGAGCAGAAAGGGGGAACACACCTGGGCCTCCCCAGCCCCAGGGCACGCTGAGTGTGCCAAAGCTGCAGATAAAGGACATTGGGTGAGGCACTCACACGTCCTGCTGAGGCCATGGTGCCTTCCAGCATCTTGGCTTTGCACTCCTGGGGCAGCCTCTGCCTCCCCCCAGGGTTACTGGGGTCCCACACCACTGGGTCAGTGTGATTCTTCCTGCAGCACCTTCTGGACATGCCCTTGATAAAACCACCACAAGACTTCACAGTGTAAAATGAAAACTTTTCATCGTTTATTCTCGACTGCAGCTGTTTACAGAAATATAGTTGCGAGTATACAAATGTCCCAATAGAAGCAAAATATTTTTTTTTTTTTTTAATATTCAACAAGTTATCACAGGAGAGCTAAAAACATAGATGCAAATAAAATATCCCCTCATAGACAAACTGAAAACACCGGGAATCAGTGCTTGGAAACCCACCTACGAAAGCCATATACACAGACTGCACGAAGGAGTATCTGGTGCTACTTTCACACTGCAGGACACAGAAGAGGCAGCTCAGCGGTCGAGGGTGCACCCAGAACATCTGGCAGGCAGGGCAGAGCCCACCCGAGGGGCAGGGACAGAGACAGGAGCTCTGCTCTGAAGGGGTTGGAGCTTAACTCAGCATCAGCTCAGGTGGAAATAATTCAAATTGCCTCCTTTTACCCAGAATAAAACAGCTCCAGGACTGCTGCAGGCTGTTAAGGGTACGGCAATGGGATCCCAGCTCTGCAAGACCCACAGAGCCACTTCCCAACAGGAACCTCCCCCTGCACACGTTATGCCAAGGGGCAGCTCCAGGGCCAAAACAAAGCCAAGGGGTATTTATATTTCCCTGTCAGGGAACAGGAGCCCTCCCTCATCCCAGGCCTGGAGCTGCAGTGGCACAGAGGGCTGCTGGAACCTGAACAGGGCTCAGGGAGCAGGGAATCCCTGCGTTCCCTGCCCTGGCCCTACACAGGCAATTTAATGTAAAGTGTAACAGCAAAAATGACACATCCCTGCAAAAAGCAGAGTTCAGCTCTGCAAACTCCAAGAGAACAAAGGAGGACACTGGCTCTCAGTGTGGTGGAGGTGATCTAAGAGGCCTGTACCAGGATAACACTGATCCACCCAGGACAAATTCCAGTGGAACACAGATTTGGAACTGAAAGTCATGTTGGACACAATACACATTACTGAATGTAAGACCTGATTTAAAGGCTGGAGCTGTGCCAGGGCAGGTTTAGGTTGGATTTCAGGGAAAGGTTCTTCCCCCAGAGGGTGCTGGCACTGCCCAGGGAATGGGCACAGCCCCAAGGCTGCCAGAGCTCCAGGGGTGTTTGGACAATGCTCCAGGGATGCCCAGGGTGGGATTATCCAGGTGTCTGTGCAGGGCTGGGGTTGGACTGAATGATCCCTGTGGGTCCTTTCCAGCTCAGGATATTCTATGATTCTTAGGGTTTAATTCCTCACACAAGCTGCAAGAAAGAAATCAACACAAGTGGTGGCAGGTTCCTCACAGACAGAATTCAAGGAGAGCTTCACTAGCTTTCAAGGAATTCTCTAGATTTTGATTGTTGCACTAATGAATCAGGTAAAAAAATCAGTTTACAGACTCCTGCCCTCATGGGAATAAAGAGAAAGGGCAGAGGAGCTTCCCCTCCTACCCAGCAGAAGCAGGGACCTTCTGCTAACAATAACATCCCACACGAGGGCTGTGTCAGCCCAGCACCACCAAGCCCTGCCTGCACAGCTGCTGCCACCCTGGCATGGAAACGGCTCTGAGGGGAAGCCCAGGGATGCTCAGGGCTGCAGGAAGCTCAGCTTCAGCCTGGGTGTCAGCTCTACCCTAAACCTCATCTGCAAGTATCAACTAAGAGATGTAAACCCACAAAAGTGGCCACAGCTGCTTGCAAGGCACAGATCCCAGCGAGGTTCCCAAGCAGAGCAAGTTCTGGATCCATGTCACCAACAGGACACATGTCCAGCACTGAGAGGTGGGACAGCTACTCATGAGTTACTACAAAAGCCTCCTACCGAGGAAAAGGAGTATTGTTTCATGTTTATAAAAATGTAAATATAACAGTATTCTAATGCTGTGTCTACTATTTATATATAATAATCTGACTCCTCTATATACATATATATAATCCTAGAATATACAGGCAGTGCATATTTACATCCCTATACAGACTGGGAGAGGAAAAGCCTCTCCTCCTGTGTGACCTCCCGGTTTCCCAAGTTCCCTTTGGCAGGAGTTCAGCCCTGCTGCATTTCTCCTTGTTCCTAACACATTTACCCCATTCCCAACGCTGACCCTCGGTGCTGTGGCACCACAGCTGGCACAGCTGGCCTGAGCAGGAGCACCAAGTGCTCACAGGCTGCCCCAACAGACTAAACCAGCCCAAATTAAAGCAAAGCCCCTGAACAAACACAGCATCCCACTGCTGTCTGCTTTTAGCTTCTACAGAATGGAGCTGCCCTGAGCCCCTGAACACAAACCCCCCCAAAACCATAAAATTCCATTTTGCACTAATGAGCAGTGACCAGAATTCCCTGTTCTTGCCTTCCACCTACAGCTCGGAGCAGGCCAAGCAATTCCCTCTGCTCTGCCCTGCTCCCCTCACTCAGATCCACTCTGTGCTCCCTCTGCTCTCCCACAACGGCCCTGCAAAAGGAACCCAACCGTCTGCCAAGCAGAGGCACAGCAAAACAGGAATAAAAATCCATTCAGACCTATTTTCCTTTTAGAAATGAGATTCTAAATCAAAATATCAATGGAAACTTTGAAAAATAAAGTTCAGCTTATGCAAGTGAGGGGAATGTCCACTGACACAGCTACCAGTAAAAACCTGCCAAGGTTTTGTTTAACTGCTCGTGCCTTGTTTTATCTCAAAACCACATGGAAGCAGCCACCCTGTCAGTGATCAGAAGAAATCATCATCACTGATCAGAGAGGGGACACCCACTTCAGAACAGCCAGCCTGGAATTATTTCTTGAACTAGATTTGTGTTAAAATAAGAGCAAAGCGTTTGGCTTGCAGCAAGACCAGGCAGTGAGGAGGCAATTAATACCAAAGCTGCTGTTAATTAAGCACAAAGCACCAGTGGCTCTGCCAGGGGAGATGTTCAGCTCCAACTGCACCGAGCGTGGCTCTGTGGTGTCTGGGCGGGCTCTGGGCACGCTCAGGGTAAAAGCTGAGGGGATGTGGGGGGGTTGGCAGCTCCATCTCCCTCAGCCCTCACCTGTGCCCACAAACGGGTGCTCTGGGACCCCAGGGATGCTGGGCCGACAGCCTGGCACCTCGGGGTCCTCTGTGCCACACAAAGGGCCTGAGGGGACACGATGGCACACAGAGAAGCTCTGCTGCCCAACCCCAATGCTCAGAACTGAACGTTCAGGGCCGTGGTCAGAGCCAGCCGTGCTCAGGCTCTGCTCCCTGCCAGGACACCCTGCAGCCTGTCCCGAGCTCCTCTCTCCTGCTCCAACCCCTGCAGCCCAGAGCCGAGCACGCGCCAACCGCTGAGCGACCTCTTCAGTCACACAAATACTTCTTGGAACCAAATCACATGTTCAAAGTGTTGTACATTTAAACATTGACCTAAAATGAACAGGAAAATTTAACACGAGGAAAGGAAGGTGTTTCCAGAAGGGAAAACTGGGATAGCACAGCCCTTGGTTGGTTTTTTGTGTATGTTTTTTTCCCTCTTCTCTTCACGAGTGACCTCAAACACGCCCACAATTCAAACATACCCTTTTTCCCTGGAGCTGTGGCAGGCTTGGGACGAGGTTCTCTTCTGGGCACTCATCCTGTTCCACGCAGAATTGGTCCCTGGTGACTTGGCACTGACCCACAAACGGATAGAGCCCTTGGGAACAAGGAGCAAACCGAAGCAGCGCGAGCGAATCCATCGTTCCTGTCACTCCTTCCGTGTCCCAACAGCTCACCCTGGGACACACATCCTGCAAACACCACCAGTTCCTTCCCCAGCGAGTGCCTATGGACTTCCACGGCCCTCTGGACGTTGTTGGGTCCGCTGTTCTCAGCCTGAGCAGCCCCACACAGCAGCTGGGCACTGCTGGGGCTGCTGCTTTCGTCTTGTGAACCATTACAAGATGTTGGTAATGTTTTGTCTTAGCAGGGGAAAAAAAATGAAATACAGAAAGAAGAAGTCTGGGTTGGGGTTAAAGCAGCTCTGGACATGATGCAGCGGGGAATTCTTTCTGTCCTGATTAAAATTTCCAACATTTGAGCATAATCATAAATTAGGAGTTAAAACACAGAGGCGCTAATAATAAAATATTAAATAGGCAATGAGAGTGGAGAAAAGCTGAATGGCTCATTCTGAGGGAAACCCCAATATTTCATATTTTATATAATCCTAAATGCCTCTGGGTTTCCTGGCTAGGCTGTGAGTGAGGGACACACCAAACACAGAGCGAAGCTTCTCGTGGCCAGCTGGACCAACACTGCCTGATGGAATGGCGAGAGATGAACACGTTATTTATGTTGCAAAAAGTACTTAAATACTCAATAAAGACATAACAAACCCCACCCCACCCCACTGTTATCAGACGCCACGTTGTGGTAGAACATCAGACAAACTCACAAATTTACCACAAAAATGTGTGGCAAAAAGAATATTTTATATATATGTATATATATAAATTTTTATATTTATGCCAATGTACTCACTCAGTACAAATAGCAAAATAGTTATACCATTTCCTAAATACAAAATATAGCTTTCCAAAAAAATGAAACACACATTAGATATAAACCATCCAAAACTTGAACGATTGAAAACTGTATTCAAAATTAAATGACCCAGAGCAGGTCTCTTTCTGAAAAGTTCCCTTCATATCGGCAAGAAGCCTTACTACTGAAAACGTAATTCAATGCCTCTCAATGAGAGAGAGAAAGAGAGAGACAGAAAGAGAAAGTGAACGTGGGACAGACCAACAAACGGGGAAATCCAGGAAAAACCAAGGAAAACTACACGGCTCAACTACGCACACGAGTTAAAGGGAAAACACACAGTAAACAGACTCGAGGAACTTAAAAAAAAAAAACCATTTACAGACTGTTCCTTTGTTATTTCAAATAACAAAAATGAAGAATGACGTGATACCAGCTACACTCCACCGAGGCGGAACGGGCGCCGCGGGAGCACACGGATCTCACGAGGCCGTAGGGAGAGATCACACACGGTCTGGAGAGTTGAAGCACCCAAAAAATCCACAAGCCTCACAATACGCCTGGCATGGTCTGGAGTGGGTTGATTTTACATTCGGTAACATCGGTCGATGATTTATTCCTTAATTAAACATGACAATCTAGAAACCAGACTTGGGGCTCGGTGGTAGAAAAAGGAAAAATCACTTCAGAACTGCGATGAGCTCATGTGCTACAAGGATGCAACAGCTCGGGATGAAGTGACCTTTTAAGAAGGCTTAAAAATGATGCAATTTGCCCCCTACTTGGAGTAAAGCCAAGCTGAAGATTTCCATCAGTCACAGCTGGAAGTGGCGGGTTAAGGGGGATTCCTACAATTACAAGGTGGTGGAGAAATTGCTTCCTCTCTCCTTACTCCTTGATTATTTGTCAAAGCTTCTACTGACTAAGCAATTTACTGCCAAGGATTCCTAAAAGCTTTTTCTTTAGCTTTAAATCCAGTAGGATATTTATGTCTTTTTTTAAAAAAACAAAATACAAAACTGAGGGAGCGAGGGAAAACCATGGAAAGAATAAAAGGGAGAAGGCTGGTTTGGGAACAGCTCATGAGGCTTCACAGAGCTCCAACCCATCAGTCAGAAGGAGAGACACAGAGGAGCCCCTTCCTCAGCCACACAGAATGTTCTTTTCAAGCTGAAGGTGTTTTAGAGAAGATTTTAACATCAGCTGGAAGTTCCCCTTCCTTTCTTCATTTTGTAGAGCCACCAACCAAACCCTTGCTCTATGTACAGCTCCACGTAACTCCAGCTTCCACAGACGTGGAAAACCGTTAATCCCATTCTGAGATGGGAACTGGTTATTTACAGCAGCAATTCTCTGCTTGTTATTACAGTTAGCAATACTTGCAATTGATGAAGGGAGGGCCTGGCTCTCCCACTCCGTGTCAGTGGAGAGATCCCTGCTCTGACTGGCAGCTGCTGCTCCTGCTGCACGAGCTTCCCAAGGGGAAAAAGGGATGGGAGGAAGGAATAGCAGGGAAAAAGTAAACGTGGTAACATGGATTACCTTCCAACAACAATAATAACTGACCAGATATGCTTTAAATTCCAAGAGCCCCCACTGTAATGAGGTTCATGAACCTGGTAACAGCCCAACCCCACGCCCCAGTAACACAAAGCATAACTCCTCAGCATTATTGGCACTGTGGAGCCCAAACTCCATGGTCATGGCCTCAGGTCTGCCACTGGCCACGCTGTGCTCTTAAAGAGGCCACTTTTCCACAGAAGCAATTGGTTCCACGCAGCCTAATCCAGAGTTGGAAGGTCTGAGAGGATCTGGGAAATCGTCGCTTTTTTTTCTCCACGGAATTTCTGCGTGAGAGAACAAGCAGAGAAGTCAGGCACAGCTAACCACAGTCCCCTCCTCCTCCTGTGCTCTGGCTTCATCCTCAGGGCGTTCCTCATGAGCAGGCACTGAACTGGGGGCGAGGAGCAAGAGCAGCTCTGGAGAGACTCCAAACTCCACATCCAAACCCCTCTGGGTTAGGGAATGACGTGCATCACTTCAGTGAACGCTCGGGGGGGATTTGGGACAAGACCACCCCAAGTTACCACAACCAGCACTGGACTCCAGGGTCCTCCTGGCTCTCGGTGCTCATTTGTAGTCAAAGGCTCTTCCCCCTCTGAAAAAGGCACCTTCTAAAAGCAGAATGTCTCCTAGCAACAGCTGATGCTGTTGGCTGTTTCTAACACAGCCCCAGCATGTGGCACACTCAGGAGCTGCCACATTCCACCAAAACTTGTTTTCACATTACGTTATTGTAACCCAGGGGAAGAGTTCAGAACAGTTCAAAAACAGTTCAAACTTGAGGTGTCATTTACTCAGCAAGTCTCAAGTTTTTTAACCTCAGTCATGTTTCATAAGGTTTTGATCTGCCAAGCTGCCAGTGATCCACTCTCCTCCCCAACAAAGAACCCGACACTCACGGCACATGACAAAACGTAGCAAAAATGAACAAGACACAGTCTCAACTGTTTCATACAACTTCTGACTGCTGACTGGTTTTAATAACTTCATTCTGGTATTTTAGTCTTAATCCAGCCTCACTGGTGCTTTAGCTGACCTCTTAAAGCACGGTCACACACGGCAAGGTGTAAATGCACCGAACAAAGAACCCAGAGACCCAAACTCACCACTTGCCTCGTTAGAAGGAGCCAGCCATGTTGTTGCCCTGGTTCTGCAAGGACACGAGCAGGTCGTCGATCTTCTCCATGTTCTGGTTGGCGGCCATGGCCGGGGGCAGCGGGG